GGCGCCTACGATCACCTATCTGAGATCGAACAGATTCTCAAACTACAGCTAACGCTCCTTTGTACCTCATATGTGCCCTCCCTCCCGGTGGGTTACCCTCGTACAACGCCCTCCTCCCTCGGCCTCGCTCTCCTCTCCCCCCCTCATGGTGAGCTTGCCCCTTCAAACCCCCCCTCTTCCCCCCCCCCCTACCTGAAGATCCTCCCCCTCTAACTCCTTCCCACCCTGCTCTCTACTCCTCCTCTATGTCACAATTCCCACCTCTTCCTAACAAACCTCTTCCCCCGCCTCTTCCGGTGGATCCATCTCCCGCAACAACTCCCTCCCCAGATACCATGTCACCTCCGAGACATGCAAGTCAAGTTGCATGGGTTGGCGGTCGAGGTCCAGCAGTAAATTGACTGGGTCCGTTGTGGGAAAACCCGGGGAGGGGTCACCTGTTCGTCGCTGAAGCCATGGGCAACAGCGCCTGTCACTTGCTGCGCCCGCTTCCGAGATCCTCAGCGACCAGCAGGGAGATAGAGTTCAGACTGCCTGCCGTGCGCCCACTTTTGTTGATTTGAGTGTTCTCTTACACACTTCGACAGACAATTATTACTAAGCCAGAACCAAATGAGCATGGATGTCCCGTAAGGCTGATATCTGGGCTCAGGCCTGGGCCACAAGTGAGTGAAGGACAATTCAACGAAGTGAAATGCACGGGTGCCCATCGGCCGAAAAGAGCAGATTGCGCGAGTAAGAATTGATAATAATTCGTAGTGCATACACTTGGGAATAATTCGCAGTGCAAACACTTGGATACTGCCCCTCTTTGACTCAATTAGAGAGTGGCCTGCTTTTAACGAAATTTACACGGAGAATGCACTATATGAGTCCCCACCCATAAACAGCGAATACCTGATTGCCTATGAGCGGTCGTTCTACCAATGATAGAGGAATTCTTGATCTGCCAATGAACATAGACTTCTTGATCAGCCAATCGGGAAAGAGTCCTTGAACTGCCAATGGACAGAGGCTGCTTGACCAGCCAATGGGAGAAGAGTCCTTGAACTGCCAATGGACGGAGGTTGCTTGGCCAGCCAACCGGGAAAGAGTCCTTGAACTGTCAATGGGTGGAGACTGCTTGATCAGCCAATGGGAGAAGAGTCCTTGAACTGCTAATGGACGGAGGCTGCTTGACCAGCCAATGGG